ATGCCAGCTGGCCCAGCTTGGGTCACATGTACATTCCCAAATGCGGGGTGGAGGTTTAATGTAATTTTTCAAGGGTAACTTGGGACGTTCTTGTCAAAAGAAAGAGACACAGGTGTTGAGGCAAATGAAGCAAAACTACTTAGACTCTGCATTCACTGGGGTTCCCTAGACATTGTAAATTGTCATTGCCCTGCATGAACTTAGTTACTACATGCCTTTGGACACTGGACAGTCTACAAGCTCTGCAGGTGGTACAGAACTGCTTTAATATTTTGTTCACTCCCCACCCGATGAGAAATAATATTAAGGAAACCTGGAGAATGAGCCAGCATTACTGAATCTCAGGGGTGATCAAAGGATGCCTGACCAGTGCTGGATACCTGAGTCGCCACTGTCAAGCTGCCCAGGGATGGCAGGTCTTTGGAGCTGCACATCATGCCTCATTTCACCAGGTGTGATTTCCAATGAGACATCGCTCCACTGGGGACTAATGACATGGAGAGAGTGGAGCAGGGAGGCTGTGATTTCCAATATGCACCAGCCAGTCATTACTAGCAGGAAATGGATTTTTGCTGGGTAATCAAAGTCAAATCCCTCACTCTCCCCACCCTTAAGTGTTCCCCTCACCAGCTCCCATCACACGCAAGGTGCCCTCATTGTACTATTTCCTCAGTCCTAAGCAGACCCAAGTCCAAGCCTAGCTCTCTGTCCTTCCTCCTTTCTGTGCTAGGACACTGGATGCCCATTTGGGAAGGGTGGGGTGTGTGGAGAAGGACAGGGAGGTAGGAGGGGTGAGGTCATAGGAGGCAGGTCTTCACCTGGCAGTGTGTGCAGGGGAAATAAAACAACAGTGTCAGAGGTTTAATCAACCTTTGAAGACTTCACAGTGTTTGGACAGAAGAGTGTGAATAATATTCATTTGGATTGGCACCTGTGCACACCACTGAAAGGAAAATAGCATTTTGTCGCAATTGTGATGAGGAGCAAGCAGACTGGGGAGACAGGCTGCGCATCTTCTGAAGGTGGGTTTTTTCCTTTCTATTTCCAGTTCATTGTGACCCTGCGACTCCTTGAAAATCCAGTGGCTCTCAGTCAATGACTGACATCCCTTTTTCTGCTTCTCCAGAGCAAGAAGAAACAAGAAAATACCTGGTAAGGGCAGTCAGCTGGACTATGAGAAGACAGGCTTCTGATTTTGGCCTTGTTACTGGTCTACTGGGCAGCCTTAGACAAGAGAGTCCATGCCACTGGGTGCAAAATTCAAGGAACATGCTTACCTTTCCTTTCTGCTCAGGTTGATCCCAGGAGGATCCCACGAGGACAAGTGACCTTGGAAGTCGAGAGGTATCTGCAGGGGATGCCATTCCCTCTTCCCAAAGAAGGAAGAAACCTGAAGATTTCCCATCATCTTTAAGTAATGGGACAGTGGCATTAAGAGACACAGCACTTCCATGAGAACTTACACTCTTACTTCTTAGTGGAACTACTTCATTTATCCCTCTCCGGTTTCTCTCCCACCCAGGGAGCTGGTCTCAGAGGTAAAGAAGAATCTCCATACCACAGCCACAGGCACTGTGGGAAGTTGGGATTCACTAGCATTTGCTCTGGGCTCCTGGCCCAACCCACCAGACACGATGGAGTCTGACAATCAAGCCTGCGCTCCATGTTGTCTCCCATAGCACTCACCTTGTCTCCAGGGACACCTAAGCCAGCTTCCTATTCTTTAGAGGCACTGAGCCCCACGGCAATGAGCTTGCTGTGACAGGAGGTCCCAGTGCAAGAGCTATGGGAGCACCAGGCTTTCCTAACCCTTCTTGCGGGGCCTCGTGAGTCTTCGCATTGCCTGGTTTCTCTGTGTCTCCTTCTGTCTCACCCTCTGTCTCTCCCTCTGTCTCTGTCTGTCTGTCTGTCTCTCTCTCTCTCTCTCTTTTCCTGTAACCACCCTGTGGTAGCCTAGTCTTTTCTAGACTCCATGTCTTATTGACCCTCAATCTCCCTTCCCTCTCCTTTTCTCTTCTTCCATCCTTTCACTTTGATCCTCCCTTTCCTTGCTTTTTCTCACTCACCCACTCCTCCAACCTCAGCTTTTCATTCCTTTCCCCTGACCCAACATCTCATCTTTTTCTTCTTTCAAGACAACAAAGAGAGTCATGGACCAATCAGAGTTCCTCTTTGCAGCAATTCCAGTACTGGACTTTCTAAACTCTCACCTTAGACATTTCTTAAATACATATCCTTCAACATGTACATAGCACCCGACCTGCAAGGTCACACGCGGTGAGACAGACATGCTGCACACAGCTCAAAAGTGCCCACTTCACTTGTCACATTCAGATTTTAAATGTCCCCAAAGACTCACACATTAAAGGCTTGATTCCCAGCTGATGGTACTACTGGGAAGAAGTGGAAACTTTAGAGATGGGGCCAAGCTGGAGGAGGTCACTGCAGGTGTGGACTCTATTTCCTGGCTGATATGAGGTGAGCAGCTTTGCTCCACTACATGATTCCCATCATATCATTCTGTGAGACTCAAAAGCAATGGAGCCAGCCAACCATGGACTGAAACCTCTTAAACTGTGACCCAAAATAAACCTTTCATCCTTTTAAATTGTGTACCTCAAGTATTTTGTCCCAGTGATGGAAAGCTGACTAACACACATATGATATGACCACTGCCAGCTCCAGCTTTCCTTCTCTGAGCAACAAAGAGGAGCCATAGAAATTTGGAAAGGCCCTTAGAATTGTCAGGACCCCAAATCTATTGTGATCCCTACCCGTACCAACAAGACAGTTTGATTGTTATTTGAAATGATTCAGTATTAAATATTAGTGCCTATCTTAAATTAAATATTAGTATCCACACTATAGCATTATTTCCTAAAATATAGTATTTATAGATAGTATAGTATCTATAATACAGTATCTACAGTATAGCACCAGATAATATCCAGTATTGAGAAACAATTTAACTGGAAAACCCTTAGGAATTTTAAATAAAAAGAATTATAGGGAAGAACTATTCTACAAAATAATAAAAATAGCTTAAAAGTATCATAACTGAAATAACCTATTACTCATATGGGAAAGGAGAGACAATTCAATGAAAAAGAATAGAGACCAGAAATAGGACTACACATACACACACACACACACACACACAAATAATTCAGCCAGTGACAGAGTTGGCATTTCAAATCAATGGAGGAAAAGACTTGATAAATGTTACTGGAGTAATTGTCTAACTCAGAGGTCTCCTGTACACAGCCATGAGCTACGTGCAGTTATTGTGCACTCCAAGTGCCCCTAGTCCAAAACATACACTAGATTTTAAAGACTTATGCAGAGAAAAGCAACTCATTAATAATTTTTATACCAATTACATGATGAAATGATATTTTGGATAGAATGGATTAAATAATATATGTTTTTATAATTACTTTTACCTGTTTCTCTTTAGTACTTTTTAAAATATGGTTAACAGAAAATTTTAGATTACATATGTGGGTTTCTTTATAGTCCCACTGGATACCACCAGTCTAACCACTCATAATAAACTTAGATTCCCATCGTATTCCTTTACAAAAAATAAAATTAAAATAGATAAGTATTTTTGATGCAAAAACAGGATATCCTGGAAGAAAGTATGGATAATTTATTTTATATTTTATGATCCTGGAGTACAGAAGACCTCTGAAAGCATGACAAAAACTCAAGAGCTATTTTATGAAAAGAATGATAAAATTTATGACATAAATAAGTAAAATTTCCTGCACACAAAAAGACCTTTAATATCAAAAGAAAACTTTAATAAGAAAAAATATTTATAACATAGCAAAAAAGTAAAATTCTTAACAAAAAAAAGCTTGTACAAACTGCTATTTAAATAAAAAAAAGATGAACAACCCTATACAGTTGTCAAATGGTATAAATTAGCTAGTCAAAGAAAAAATACAGGGGGCTGGGGATTTAGCTCAGCGGCAAAGCGCCTGCCTGGCAAGCACAAGGTCGTGAGTTCAGTTCCTGGTACCAGAGAAAAACCAAAAAAAAAAAAAGAAAAGAAAAAATACATTAAAATCATCATTACAAATACAAAATGTGCTCAACTTCATAACGAAAGACATGGAACCTAAAAATTGAACACCATTTTTTCTTTTAGAAATTCATACTTCAAAGATCATGAAGGTGACCAAAAACAAGCCCTTTTATGTGGGGCTATAAACGTACATCTCTTTAAAAGGTAATTTGGGCCCTAGAGTCAAAAACTTAAGTATATTTTTTATTTGCCCAAGGAATTTTACTTTTAGGAATAAAATATATTCTATACTTGCAGATAAAATTTCTGGAAGTATAAGATGACATATGAAGTAGGCAGTAATAGTCAATCCAGAATTACAGTACTAAAAGCTAACCAACCAGCCACCTTAGAAAGAACTTAAATAATCAACAGTGCCTGGAGAAATAAATACTGATATGAGTGCCCTGGAATACTGCGCTGTCACAAAAAGAATGAGATACACTTGAATACACTGATATATAAATAACTAATTTGTATTAGTGAAAAAGGCAAATTTAGAAAAATTAACTCAATATATAAGGAAATCAAGCATGCTGGGAATTCCTACAAATTTTTCCCTTACAGGAGGGTGAAAAACAGACACACAGAATTAGTTTAAAAAGAGAGGCAAAAGCAAAGCATGGTGGTACAAGCTTGTAATCTCAGCACTCAGGAGGCTGAGGCAGGAGGATCGCTGCGAGTTTGAGGCCAGAGTGGGCTACAAAGGGAGCTCAAGGCCAGCCTGAACTGCATAGAGGGACCCTGTCTCAAAAAGACAAAAAAAGGAGGGGAGGGGCAGAGGCTCTTACCTCTTTTAGAGAAAGATCCCTAAGACTTTGTCTCACCTCGCTTTTATTTCCTCAGAAACAGGAACAAGCAATTAGGACAGATGAAGACTCATCTGCCTCCTACTAGCTGTAGGACATGCCCAGGCAAACAACCATACCTCAGCTGTGTTGGTTCTTCCTTAGTACCCGCCGTATGCCAGGGCGCCTGCATGCTGCCGAAGGAGCACAGCTTGCTACTTTTCCTCCTTTGTGCTCCCAGAGGTCAGTTCGGTCTCCATCCTCACTGTTTGGTCTCCCACAAATAACTCTAATCTATATTAGTGAAAAAGGAAAATTTAGAAAAATTAACTGTGATATCAATGTATGTGTACTTTTACAAGGTTATTATTGTATATGCTATCATCCCATGAAACCTTCTAGAAGGACCAATAATTTATTGATCGTAGTTACCTCTTGGTGGGAAGAATTCAAGAGGAGAGGATGAGATTGCTTAATTTCTGTTTGTAGCCTTTTTTGTTGTTTGAGCTACTTTTCAAAGGACGTTTGGAAAGGACACTTAACATTCACAATTATTATGGAAATGCCAATCTTAACCATCAGGAGATGCTAATATATACCCCACATGATCACTACTAATGAAAAAATGACAAAACAGAAAATAACAATTGCGGATGAAAATGTGAATTAGAAGCCTTGCACACTATGGGTAGGAATGCAAAATGCCACAGCCTTTGTGAAGTATGGTAGCATACTATATAGACCTCTGCATGCTGACTTTTTTCCAATGTCATTTTCCTTTCCTTTTCTTTTTTTTTTCTTTCTTT